AAAGACCCACAGTACTTATGCTTTCAGCTGGATGGGGGAGTTGTTCTGGAAATCTGTCCAAGGGATTTAAAATCAAGCTCCTGGCTAGTAACAGCACTGTATGACTAAATATTGGTGTCCAAAAGAATAGATAGCACAGATAAAGTGACTAGGCACAGAGGTGACCATGCTAGAACATAAATCATTAATATGAGAGATAAGGTGAAACACAAATAAAGGGAATATTTGTATTCTACAGTATTTCTCCTGTGGTTCTGCAGCCATAGTCCCCGTTTCATAACACTGGCTGGCCAAGACTGTGTAAAAACTCAACCCAAACAAATGTACTCTTGGCTTCATTGGTGAGGCTCTGATAGTTTTGGAGAGTTCAATACAGCCAGCTTTGCTGCCTGTGTGTGCTTCTTCACCACGGTAATTCTCCTTCAGCGGAATAAGTGCTTAGTGCCTATCTGATTATAGAGCTGAGGTTATGGGCCCATAAAACCAGAGGACACCAAGAGATAATCTCTACATGCGCAATCACATCCAAACACAAACTATGCCATTAGTATTACTTACTTTTAAAGCACCATTATCCCTGCATTGTTCTCTCTCATTAACAATTAGTCATTCAGACCCTTGAGAACTTTAATATGATAATCCCTACAAGCTCATCAGGCAAATATCACACAGTCGCGATGTTCCATGCAAGATTTACAAGACGGAACTGGCTGGATGTGAATGTGGGAGTAACGGTCCATAAGCAAATGTGACATAAAAAGAAGCCAGCCAGGAATGTTGCCTACTGAACTCAGAAAGCCTGGCTGTAGTGGGAGTGCTGTTATTTCAAAATGGCTTTTCATCTTTTGCGGTGGAAGGGAGTCATTTTGCCATAGGAGAAGAAGCAACTGCATAATGTCCATGGTATTTACACACTGGTCAGTGAAAGTCAGCCCCTGCTTTTGAAACTGTGTAGCTGTATGCATTTTCTATTTGAATGCTGTGTTTAGAGAGCCTGTGCTCCTCCACTCCCTCCCCCTTCTTTCCCTTCTTTTCAGCAAAAAGAGACCTCACCAACAAAGAGAAAATAGATTGAAAGCTCTCGCATCCAGGCTCTTTCAAGCAAAGCTTGAGAGAGACTTTGGCACATAATGTCTCTAACATTATGTTCACTGCCCTTAGAAAGCAATAACCCAATGCATTCTGCTGGCAGTTAGCAAGTGCAGTGATTTCAACACAGATGAGAGAAGAGAGGACAAAGAAAGAATATGCTTAGAGCATCCCTTTCACTATGAACCTAGGGGCCAGCTGGAGTGTTTACAAAGCTCTAAGGCCAGCCAGCAGGGAGTTGCAATAATCTAATTTTAATTATGTGACAAAAGCATGAAGAATCATTTCAAGGGCTAACAGAGGAAAAGGGTTGCAGCCTGCCAATATTCCTTAGATGGTAAAAGAAGACAAGTTAACTCACAGAATTTAGTTGTTTCTCAAAAGACTAAATGGGATCTATCACAACTCCCAGCCTGCTGTTGTTGGAGAACAAACTGGTTGCCAGAAAAAGGCTTTAGATGTCAAAGAAAGTTCCCAAGAGGCATTCAGGAAAAGCAGCAATACCTATGCTACTCTTATTAAATAAAAGATATATTCTACCAGCAAGCAAACAAAGTCCTGTAATCACGTGAAACTGGCCAATATGAAATGCTGTGTGTACAAATATACATACGCAATATATATATATATGTACACTGGGTATAAATTGGTAGGCCTTTAATCCGAGTTCTCCAGAATCACACCAATAAAACAGCTGTTTTGCTGTCCCAAGAAAAGCATAGAAATGAAAGGAGAGGGAAAGGGAAGGAGAGAGGAAGGGGAGGGGAAGGGAAGGGGTAACAGGCAAGGGGGAAAGGGCGAGGCCCAAGTCTTCCTGCTTTGCACACATCCCAGCTTTTTGGCAGAAAAGGAGTGCTGTCTCCTGACAATAACAGAACAGACAGTTCACAGCAATGAGCCAAATATTTTTGACTCTACCACACATAGGGTCATAGTGACAGTGTGGGGAAACAAGTGACATTTCATGCTACCAGAAGATGAATCCATAGGTAATTATTGTAAGATTTTCTTTCTGTATGAAGACTGAATCCAATAATACTTAATACAAGATTATCCTTAATTTTATTTTTCAGTAATACTTTATGCTCTCTTTGTTCTCTTTAATCTGCTGTTGCATAAGGATTTTGTGCTTTGATTTTATTATTGTTTGAGACATCTCCTAGTGAACAAAACTTCAGTCTTTTGCAGAGGAATTGTTGGAAATACTGCATTTCTAAGCAACTCACATTCAATAATTTAACAGTCAATGGGGCTTCATAGGAACTTTCACATAATGGCATAGCTAGTTTCAGAGCTTAGTGATACGCTTGAGCTGTTCCCCTTGCCACAGTATCACTTTGATGACAATGCTACATAGGATGCTAAAAAGTGCAGGTAGCCTGGTTTTGCTTCTACTCTTCATTATCCCTTTAAGAGGAATAGCATGCTGCTGAATAAGTGCATGCCTTTCAAGTTCAAGGAATGTTTATAAGAGGTAAAATCTTTAGTTAAAGTACCTTATCATAATTCAGGGCAACTGTCATTTGAAAAAGGAGTACACTGCAATAATATGTATATTTTAGACAAATGCAGAATGTGGTGTGTGTACTCACTGTTCCAGCATAGTTCTGGGTCTACAGTTTTGCAGAGAGAGTATATGGTAGAAAGACGATTTGTCTCCTGCCAATAGAAGAGCAAGTGAAAGTGATGTAATACTTATTGTGCATGTCTTCAAAATCAGTGTGGTTCACTCGATGGAATCAATTAGGTCTCTCTGTAGAGTGACTTTTGTAATGGAGGCCTCTACACAAATACAAATGATGACTAATAAGGCATTATACAAATCATTATTAATAAAGTAACAAACAAAAATTTTCTCTACTAACATCCTATACTCTTTTCTTCTTTAAAATGGTCTCAGTGATAATCATTACTAAATTGAACCTCAGAGTAATTATTTACAGCAATACTGCCAGCAGATGTTGCCATGTGCAAATTACTTTTCCCCATCATGTGACAGTGAAGTTCTTGTTCTTGATCAATATTGTCATTCATACTTGCACAAATTGAGGCCTTTTTTCTGTAAATTTAGCCATTCTTGCTTGGGTTTTCCTTCCAGTGCCAAGTGTTTTTGGCTCAGGTTAATACTTTTTGCGTTTCTCTGGAGTAGGGTTTTAAGGTGTGATTTAGCATTCCTTTGCTTATTTTCAATCTTTCCCAGGCCCAGGTTTTAATGCTGACATCTTGCATACCCTGTGAAAATAAGAGTGCTTCACATGTTGTCATGTTCTGCCATCACAGCTGGAATCAGGACCAGCTTCAGGCACAGATAAAGGAATCTCCTGACTCCAGTCATCCGTCCTCCTCAGTGACTGCCTGTGGTACCTGTGCTGGAGGAGATGACAATGAGCTGTTTGACCACTCTTTGCTGCCTGGGCATCAATTCTTGTCACTGGTGACTGAAGTGGAACAAAGTGAACAAAGCAATAATTAGTTTGCGTGGGCTGGGCATGGCTCTCCCTTGCAGCGAAAGTCACTGATGCTTCTCTTGAGAGGTGCTACTGGGGCTGTTAAGAGATGTAGCACAGTGCTACACTGGGTCTTAAAATGTAAAATAAATTGGTTTTGCAGCTAAACAACAACCATTAGCCTGTCAATGCTTGAATTCAGCTAAATGCCAGGTTGACATGAGTAAATGAAAGCTATTTTTGAGTGGTTTTAACCAGGCTGTAAGCTGTTCCTGACTCTTTGGAGCATTCAAGGCATAAAGTCAGATGGATGAATTCTGGGAAAATGATTATATTCATTCAGAAAGCACATTAGAAATGGGAAGAGTAGGGGGAAAAAATTAGGAGAAGAATTTAGGGTTATCATTGGCTTTCTGGTGATATATATGTTTGTATAAAGGTTTATGACTGACTAACTGCTGACATGAGTAATTCTTCAAATAGCTCTCACGCAAACATTATATACTCTACTGTTATTTTCTTAGTAACCTGGTAAGGGACATCTGCAGTTTCTAGAAAACTGAAGTTATTTGCAATGAAATTGGCAAACTAGGGCAGGGTTTGATAAACAGTTTAGAGGGAAAAAAACAAGGAAGGGTAAGGCCTTAAAACATTTGTTCTTTTCCAAACAATCCTCTTTAATTTTTAATTTTAGAAGTGACCCTCTTTCACTTTTACAATGAATTTTCAAATGTAGGATCCTGTAGTTAGATTTAAGAACTCCATATGCATTCCACAGAATTTTTTTCTCTTATTTGATGCAGAGCCTGAAGTGAAAAGTCCATTATTCAATCAGTTCCAGAGGGTGTGAGTTTCAGAAGCCAGAACAGGTTACTGAGATGGGAGAGCAGGGCAGAGTGGAGGCAGTGATAAGCTCAGCACTAGCTGTTGGTTGACACTACAAAGATTGTTTTCGTCAAGGGAAGAGGTGGAAATATTCCCTCCCCTTTTCTATTTCTTGTACTTTAAGCTTTAGGCCACACTGGCACTCCCAAATGCTTAAAAGCTGTTAATTTCAGCATTCCTCTTTCCCTCCAAGTTACCCTAAGAAACACGAGGCTGTTTCCTAACAATATGCTATTTCCTCTCCAACAAGATAACTTTTTCTCCAGCTGGGAAGATGCCTAAACCCAGACCAGATGCCTTGTGAAAATTTCTCTCCCTTCATATACATTTTGAGTTTTCTAATGTTAGGGACACCCTATACTGGGAATCTTCAAACACCAAGAAAGACCAGAGTCTTTGTGGACTCTCAGCTATGAAAAAGCTGTGATATTTTTGTAAGGCAGACAAGGCATATCCATAATTAAAAAGAAAGGTCTGGTTTTGATTTTGTTGACTGACATCCTCAGCAGTCAAATGATTAGTGGGATACTGTGGACTTATAGATCCTTAGGAAAAATGTTCAAAAAGGATGTATATTAGTCAAAACTGTTAGACAAAGAAGAATGTACAAACATATAAGAATATATTTAGGAATGTGGCCACCAGTTATACATCAGTGTTAATTGCAGTGAATACAGAGTCCTGTATGTAATACAGCCTAATGTTTCAGCCCTACCCTAGGCACACTTGTGTCTTCATGAAGTACTGACCTGGCATCATCAGCTTGTCAGCTCAGATTCCAAGAGGACTATCTGGTAAATTCACGGATTGAATATAAGCAGGGAGAGAGAGTCCAGAAGTTTACCCACTGCTCCATCTAGTGCTTGTTTTCAGTATCCTGTAGGATCGTGAAATAGCTTGTTCTTTTGAAGGCTGATATGGATATGCCTAGGAGCAGCTTAGCTGCTGGAGAGCACTTGCAGTCTACTGACTTCCTAGTTCATGAGGACTATCCATCAGAAAGTCTTCTCTTCAGCAGCCTTTCTAATTTTTTTTTTTCCTTTTTGCCTGTCAACCAGCAAGTGCTCACGAAGAATGTTTGAACTGCCGCTGCAAAGCAGTGATCTTCCAGGAACTGTTATGGGAAAAGGAATATGGTAAAGCACGAGACTTAGCAATTGCTAGAGCTGGTGACAAAAAACCACAGTATTTGTGACAAGAAGACTGCGTACTGGTTAATGAGTTTCATATTTAACATGACTGTTTATTGACTACAGTAGCTTGTTTCTACTGGGTAAGTATTAAATCATTGGATAATTATAAGTATTTTGGTAGTGTAGTCAAAGGCACATTATATTGAGGATAGAGGAAGGAATACTACACTGGTCAGAAATGTGAGGAAAACATTGTTTCAGACAGGTTGTGCCCACTCTAGTAATTGAACGTGTCAAGAAAGATTTCTGAGGATAAACAACCTTGTCAGGAGTTCAATTGTCAGAACAGCCTCTGGCAGTAGTTACACTGGCCAGCTAGCACTGTCCCAACAGCCCCCAGGCACAATACAGAGGACACTCTGGATCAAGGACCATTTCATAGGATATATGATGACATTCCATGCCACTTGACTCCAGGCATGTTTAATTTCTCACTGCAGAGGAAGTCACAGTATAACAGTGTTTTACTGAGGATTGTGATCCCTTGTAGTCTCAGGCTGAGAGCTTTGGCTCAGTAATTCCAACTCAAATAGCTCATGTTTTTAGCTCTGGGCATCCAGGGAGTGTAACAGGAACGGTAATGGGTCTCACAGCTAAGTGAGAGTAGCACTTCAGAAGGAAATTTTTAGTGCCAGCAGGACTTTCTGCAGCAGGATCGTACTTTTTTGATTTTTTAAGTGTGACTCTAGTCTAAGCAGCTCTCAGAGATGCTATCACCAATAACCATTACCTTCCATATCACTAACTGGCTTTAGTATCTTCCAGAATATAAACAGAATGAAAATAATGGAAGCAGTCATATCAGCATACTGTAGTATCCAGTCACTACATATTGCCACAGAAAACTAAATGCTCTCATGTGGAGGAGTGAGAATTTTCCCAGTGCTGTCTTTGCAAATATTTTTCTGAATTTGTTTATATTTATCTTATTCATTTTCCTTCCCCACTTTCCTCCAAAGCAAAACAATTCTTATTGTGAAAACTGCCTGAGAGGAGGAACAGATCTAGCACCTGAGATGTTCAAATATTAAAAATAAAAGATAGCCTGTTAAGTACAAAGCACAGAAGGAACAAGAGAAAACTGTATATAAGGGGAGTGGAAAAGTGATGATGGTGGGCAAGTTTATTCTGCTATGTATATATCAGTCAGGTCTCTATTTCAGAACAAATCACTCCACAGAATGAAATCCCAGGCAGAAGGGTTAATGGGGTAGCTGTGAGTGAGGGTACCCAGGGGTCACACACTCAGATAGGACATTCTAGCTTGTCTCTGTCCTCACCCTCTGCAAGATAGTGTCAATCAGCTGGAAACACATCTCCAGATCTGGCTGCTTCATGGTAAGGAGAGTCTGTGACCAGAGCTTATGTATGGTATCTTTGCAGGAGAGCTCTGTTAATATCCCCGACAGGATCTCTTTATCCTGTGCCTTCCTAATCTGCAAGTCAACAGGAAAAGAGAGGGAATTAATTGTGCTAAATTGAGTTCCTGCTGTGTGTGATCGATACTGGCTTTACTTTGTAAAGTTGCCTCTTTGTTTTATCAAAACTTCACGTTTTGTTTTGCTTTGCTTTGTTTATCAAATGAAGGAGAGAAATAATATTGTTATTGACATTCTGGGAGGGACTTTTCTATCCTAAAGCACCCTGGTATCCAGCCCTCTCTCCTCATTAATCCTGCACCTTTCCCCATGCCTGCTGCTCCCAAACCTTCCCCTGCACATTAAGATGTAGAAGTCTTACACCAATTGGGATATTTTCAGTATTTGCTTCTACAGTCACTGAAGTCTTTTTTCAGTGTTTGCTGACTGTGCTGGGAAAACATGGTTTCTCTTGATATGCTGCCTGAAATAAGAACTCTTGGCTCCTCAAAGGAAACCAGCACTTCTGACAGAAGTTGAAAAGAGGATGAGTTGTTTTGAAATGTAAAGGTAACATTGAAAAACAAAGGGACGTTGAAGGCTCTTGGTTCATTTTTTTCTCATTTACAATCCTTCTGTACCCTTAGTACTACAGTCTGTAATTAAATGTAAAGTTCTGTATATATAGGAAGTAATGACATCATTTACTGACCCTTTCTGGCATTAAGCTTCTTGAAGTCATGCCAAACCATTGCATTGTGCAGCACAATTGTGCTCCCACCATTCAGTATATTGGTTTGGTCTGAAGTGCGCTGAGAGAGACAGGCAGCTAATGCAAAGCTCTAAGGAACAAATTTAGTTTCATCATTCTGGATAACATTAAAAGTGAGAACAGAGCAATTTAGGAAACAGTGCAGCTTCACAAGAGAGAGCTCCCGAGAGCTGCTGCAGCACACTGTCTCAGCACTACAGGCTGTTTATAAAACAGAGACTTATGCAACATAAAACCATTTGGATGTTGAGTTCAAATGCCTCAAAACTGGAGACATCTCAGTTCCTGCCAGCTACTCCTGTCTATCGAATATTAAGGCTTATTTGGGAATTTGGTCTAGGTGTGTATTTTGTGTCTCCCCGAAGGAGGAGCATATGTATGGCACTATGTAGGGCATAGTGGTCAGTTGTGTCTTGCTTTTTGTGAGAAAAGCGTTTGTCCCAGCTGTTCAGACATTGTTTTGAAATCGGAGATCTTCATAGTCTAGCAGCAAGGACTGATATTTTAAATGGAACATTCTTCTTCAGTGTGTAAAGAACTGCAGTGCAGCATGGACAGGAAAAAGCCTAGTGACTCCTCTGCATGCTGGAGAGAAGGCAAACTGGGTCATAAGGAACAGTATCAGGAATAGAGGAACAAAATGAGGAAGGGAAGAGAAAGAGACAAAATCGGTAAGAGGGGAGAAGACAGACTCATGAAGGGAGGAACTCTGACCATGCCCCACAGGGACCTCAAGCAGCACTCGCAGGAATGAGCTTTAAGGACAAACACGAGTGTCAGCCTCAGCCTGACCCTGCAAGCTCCCACCAGCACAGGATCCTGGCTATTGCCTTTTCTTTAGACAGATGCAAACCCCCATAAAAGCAAAAACCGGCCCCTGATCCTCTGATTGTTTTGAGTATTTCTTTCCCTTGCTCTGAACTCTTAATTTCAGCATCACACAGAACATTTCCCTTCGATAGAGGGGACTCTTGTAGGAAAAATCTCTGAGGAAGATGGCTGGCATTGCTTCCTGTGGCAGAGTTGCCTCTGGTGTAAGAGAAGAAGCAAACTGATAGTACATACATCATTTTACTTCCCTTGAACTTGTCTTTCTGTATTCTTGGAACTCTATTTTTTCTCCCGTTTTTCTTCCTGGTGACAGCGTGAACGAATAGTTATTCACATCTTTCTTTTAGCTGGGTATCTTAGGAAACTGACTTAAAAGGGACGGCGGCATAAATACAGCACGCACGGAATATTCTCTCTTCCTGTTCAGAAATTCAGGGGGGAGGGAAAAAAAACAAGCCAGGATTAAACACCTGACCTCTCCAGTGGCAATGCTGGGGCAGGGAGCGGCGCCAGGAGAAGAGTTCCGCGGGGCAGGGTGACCCCTGCCGGGGCGCTTTGTGCTGGAATTCCAGGGAAAATCCCAGGGCTGGAGCAGCAAGCTGCACTCAAGCCTGTGTGCTCAGAGGAGCTTGACTACGTGTTACAGCATCGTGCACCGACCATTTCTTCATCATGCAAGCAGGAGGCTCCAAAAGGCCTCCCCACACACATTACCTGAGGTAAGGGCTCGCTGCCTCTCACAGGGCGTCCGTGGTTTAGAGCAGGGACTGGGGGGCTGTCCCCAAACAGCAGGGGTAGGAATACTCTGGCCTGCACCTCAGCTGAGCACCAGTGATGCTGACGCACTCAAACATCTGTAGCTCCGACTCTGTTCACCTGGTTGCTCAGCTGGTTCAAGTTCAGCCTCAGAAAGTTGGCTGCCCTCTGGTAAAGATAAGGGATTCAATTTAGGCAAATTACTCCAATGGAAAGAGGTCCATGATGGTTATGTCCGAGGAGGGCAAGCCCTGGCTGGGCTGACCTCCTGAGATGCTTCTGCCTCCCCTCCTAACTCAGCCCTGGCATGGAAGAAAAGGCATCTTTGCTTAAGTCACCCATGCCTAGACTCGTGTGTCTCTCTCCATGCATGGCTAGCAGAGAGAGATCACCACTGATGGGGAGACCAGTGCTCTCCTCCACAGTTGCTATGGTGTTGTGGGCTTCTATTCCTTAGCTGGTGCCTTTTCGACCTGTCAAGGGACAGGGAGTAGTGCAAATGTGACTGTGACACAAGTCCGTGGAACTTAGTCATGGGAGCTGTTGAACTGTGCCCCGAGGGTTTTGGTAAGAGACCCAGCAGTCAAACAGGAAAAAATCCAGTACTTGAAGGAATTTTAAAAGCACCTGGCACCTATTTGCTATCCTGCTTTTTTTTTTTTTTTGTGCAGTTAGCCATGGTGAGGAGCCCTGCAGTTGTCAGCTACATCTCAGTGTAATTTTATACACAGGAATATTCACAATGTACTGTTCCTTTGAACTAAGTCAAAACAGCAAGCTGTTTCTTTGCTTAGAAATGTAATTTAGTTCTCCCTGCTTAGCTATTCTCTTAAGCATCAAGAGACAAGTCCAACATCCACTGAAAGTAATGGAAAGATGTGGACGGTTTTCAGTGGGAGTTAGATCAGTGTTCAGTTAAACGCACAATTCAATAAGGCAGACTTTAACTGTTTCTCTTATTAATAACACAGAAATTAGTTTACTCAACAGAGACATTTGGTCTTTATTTTAAAATTATTTCCAAATGCAGAAAATATTTAAACTGTGTGCCCAGCCAAGAGTTTGTATCTTCTATTGCAGGAAGAGGCTCAGCAGCTTATTGTGTCAAAAAGCATGAAATTGTGGGTTTCAGCAGATCCTCCTAATAAAGGCAATAAAGTTGTGAAGATTGTAAAAGGAACAATCCATGTGGTTTTTTTCTTAAGTTGCCTTCCACTGCTTCTACACAGTGTTCAGCCTCTTCCAAAAAGCATCCTAGAACAACTCAGAATGTTATTCTCCCTGGTCTAATGGGGTCAGGCAGACAACACAACAACCCCTTCACAAAGCATGTACCAGGCTACCTAGCTTTAACACGCACCCTGCCCCAATAGATGCACATGGAAAAGTTACCTGCTCTGGGCATAAGTTCTTGGGTGTGCATAGGAGGAATAATTGAGTAGTGTTTCACTTCTGAAACAGATTTGTGCCCTCCCCAGGTAAAGCTGACAAACTAGACAGCATCACTTCTCAGCTCACCAATTGAACTACACCACGCCTCAGCTTCATCTCAAATCTTTGATTCTAGGAAGTTTATCTGAGGTAGCCTGCTATTAGTCCTATACTTTCTGTTGCTTTTTCCAGGGTATCTTTGCTGGATAGCTGATTTGGGAGATTAACAATCATGTGTGATCACACAGATGAGCCAGGCACAACCACGAGTGGTCCTGTTACAAAAAGGCACCTTTCCTGATACTGTGCTTTTCTCTCTGTGTCATCAGGGGTTTGACAGGCTTTGTGCTGCAGGGAGTTAAAATTCTTGCTCAGGAAAAAATGGAAGAAATCGGCTGCAAACAGACAATCATTTGCCCTTCAGAAACTATGACAAGGCACTGGGAAACCATTAGCACTTGAGTAACTTCATTGCCAGCACAGGCAAATAACTCTAACTCAAAGGAATATCTGTATGGATGTGTGTATATGCATACAACAGTTTTTATTCCATACTTCGCCAGGTAGCCTTAACTAAGTGTACCTAAGAAAAAAATTCAAGGAACGGCTTGGGTTAAGCACAGAGTGAGAATGTACCCTCAGGTCTCTTCCTATTTCTCACGTTGTTGGAAAATTTTGAACCAGCTAAGTAAAGTTTCTCTGTTTTCTAAGGCTTTTTTTTCTTTTTCCTGTTTCTCCATTGTTCTTTCCAGGCAACACAGGGTGATTTTCAGGTTTTCTTCTCTATTGCTAATATAATTTTTTTGCAAAACATGCCAACTGGACCAGGCCTGGAGATGGGCTGAAGGAGTAGGCTCTATCTAATGGACTGCCTTTCTCAGCTTCTCAGGTGGGATCCCAGCTGCTTAGGAAACGAGATGATCTCTTGCTCCTCCCCTTAGTGATTTAGTACAAGTCTGTCAAGAGAGGAGAAAGCAGGAAAGCTTTTTTTATCCCTGAGAGTGATAGGAGAACTGCCACAAAGCTGTAAAAATAGGGGCTATCTTTTAATCTGTTCTGCAGTGCTTGGTCTGTGATTTGAGAGAAGAGTGGTCCTGTGCTACAGCTGGATTTCCTTGGCTGGGAAAGTGGAAAGGAAGAATGTATCACCTGTAGCTGAAGGTAAGAAAGTAAAAAGCCAGGCTAGGAGCAGAGGTGGGCATGATGTGGGATTAGTGAGGAAGGGAGGTGGGCAGAGCTAATGGCCCAAATGGAAGTGGGCATGGATGAGGAGGTGGTGGCAGGGCTGATAGCAGAGAGACTGCAAATGGCATAATTGCTTTACTTGTTTTTTGGAAGAGCCGGCTATAGTAAATGTTTTATGCCCATGAAAGGTAGGACATAGAGGATTCTAAAATCAAGAGACTGACCAGACACACAACTCTGGAACAGAAACAGTTATCTTCCAACTCACCTGTGCTCTGTGTATCTCAGCCTATTAGTTGTTTTCTACATTATCATTTTGGTTCTGTCTTTCCCTTATATGCCCAATACTTGTCAAATAGATGTTCTTGGGGCCTGTTATCACCTTATTGTCTGAAGGTCTCACCTCTCTGCCAGTCTCTCTGTACACTAAGTTAAAATTCTTAGGGTCCCATCATGTTTTTCTACTGCCCCAAGTCCCTTCTGGTCACAGCTTTTTCCCTGTGTGCTCCTGCTTTTGTGTCTTCCTGTGTGTTTACAATATGGTTCCAATCTCCCAATCCCTAGAGAAAGGGAATCTTTTCATGGAACCACTAAAGAAGTTAGATAAATTTCATAATGTAATAATAGTAAGTTAAATTTGATAGAATCATGATAATGTACGTGTGCTTGAATTTAGTGACTGGCTTGTACCAGCCTCTTCCTGGTTCTTCTCACTTTTTTCTTCTAATTAGTGTGTTGTTACACACAGATTAGACATCTTTTCCCAGGTGAGATAGGTAGCAGCAAGACTCAGCTGTGCCCCGTGATAAATCATTTACTTATGCCCTCAAAAAAGACATTTGCAGGGAGGAGGACATTTGCAAGAGGAGCTCTTCATATTTGCAAGACAGACCCAGATTGATTCATTGATGCAGCTGTAAATTATCAAGACTCAGTGACAGTGTCCTCCTCAGTATAATTGTTTGTGGTGTCTACTGCAGTTATTTTCCTCAGCAGCAGCCCTGGCTCAGCAGCTAATGGTGAGGGCTGAGGGTGTCTGTACCTCTTTGACTTTCAAAACCTGGGCAGTCCTTTTCAGTGTGTTTCCCTGTGGTTTGGTGAGCAGTTTCTGGGGGAAAAAAAATGATGTGCTGTGTTGTGGTGTTTTGTTCAGTTCCTCTTCCCTAACCTAGAACAAAACAACAAAATGCGCAATGCTCTGTAATGAGGGATGGAAGTAGGTATTTGTCAAAAACATGCAGCAGTTCCTTCTGTCTTTCTACACAAATGTGATCAGAAGATTACTCCAGTTGTCACTGAACTTAGTAAATTTGTTCTGATGTCCATGGACTGTAAATCTTTCGCTATAAGGACAAAAAAAAGACTGCTCCAGAAGTTTCCTTCCTTGTGAGTATTTTTAGAGTAATCCAGGCTTTCAGCAAAAAAAGCTGGACTTGCAACGTCTATGAGATGAATATAAGACCTACTGTACTGCGGTTAATCAGGTTTTGGTAGTAGGCTGTACATAAACTGTCTGCATTAGCTTGATTTATAAAAAAGTAGAGGGTTTCAGGTGATAAAGTAACAAAGCTGGAAAAATACACAGCAGAATTAAATGACCTGTTTCTTTGCTTCAGCAGAAGGCTTCACGTCCTTCACTGTAAAATCACCCACTTCCTCATTTCCAAACTGATTTTTTTCCAGCCTAGCTGGGGGTTTCTGCAGTGTCTTTCCCAGGGCATCTCTCTGGAGAGAGATTAAAAACTTCTAGCAGGATATATTTTGTTCTTGGGGTGACATTTTGCTGCTTGCCTTCTGCTTTTCTTTCATGCATGGAGGTGATGGACACCAATACCAGTGAAAGCCTAGAAATAATGATGTGCTAATAACCTCAGAGCTCACTCATGAGGGAGTGTTGTCTGCAGTGAGAATTCCCATTTGTTGGTGAGTGATGTGTCTGTGGAGCTTGCAGTGTTGTTGTACACCCAGCAGATGTGGGGATTTGATAGCGACGTCCTGAGGATTTAGACAAGTTACTTTATCACTGCTGAAGAGATTTAAGAATGATTTTGTTAAAGCTTCGCAATCATAATAGTGGTCTCTGCTGCATACAAATGAGCAGCCCAATCCTAGAGCCCTGCTGCTGAGGGTAGCACTTAGTCCTGAAAGATGTGGTGATTATGTGATTAGCCAGGAGGCTGAATTCTGCCATTTTCTGTGTGAGGTTTAGCAGTGCTAAACCCACACTGAGGACCTAGGGTTGAGATAATCACTATCCTGTTACAAGTTTCCTGAGTTATCTGCTCCTCAGCCTTTTATTGCCATAAATAACTCTAGAAGTCAGGCCTCACTGCCAGAAGTGTTAAGTGCTGCAAATAGTATAGAAGATGACTCATGAAGTGAGATGAAGGTGGAGCATGAATCAGTAGGAAGAAAACTGATATACAAAGGAGAAATTCTGAATGCAGATGACACAAAAAGTCTGAACAAAGCAATGTTCAATCATCATAAAAATGAATCAAAAGGTTTTTTTTTCAAAAGAAAAAAAAAAGGAAAGAAACTCTTCTATTTAATGAGAAAGACCATTCCAGTGAAAGCCCAAAGTACAAAGGTGTTGCATACTGACCATGTTATTCCTTTCCCAAGATAAACTGTAGACTGCATAGAAAAAGATGGTTGAAAAATTCTTCCCAATATGTCCAAACAAAGCAGAGTATTCAGCAAGCAGGTTGCTTTCCAGATTGTTCTGTGTCTATATAAGCTAAGAAAAGAACCTGTCTTTGAGCTAAACAGTTTTGGAGATCAAGAGTCCTCTTAGCTTCAATGAACCCACACTGAAAGCTAACAGCAATAGAAATACTAAAATAACCTGAGCACATTCCTTTTAAAAGATAACTCATGATAAGGAGATAAAATTCCCACAGACCACTCCATTTGAAATGACAGCTTTTGGTGCTTTTGCTTATCCTCCAAAAGCTTGCATATGTAGGAATGCCTTTAAAAGTAGACTTGGAAAAAAAGTACCTGATAGATGACATCCTACAGCTGTTAGTGTAGTAAAGCATCCTATTCTGCCTGTAATTCAACTCCTGCCACTTCCTGGGAGAAGGGGTATCTATTTAATGTAATTCCTCAGAGGTGAGAATTAACAAACTTTCATGTTTGACATCAGGGTTCAAGAAACATCTGAATGACACTTAGTCATGTGGTTCAGTTTTTGGTAGTCCTGCAAAAAGCAGGAAGTTTGATTTTTATGGGTTTCTTCCAGCTTGAGATATCCCATGATATACAACCTCTTTGAAGCAATAAAGAGTAAAATAGGTTCCTCCCGTCCCCCAACTTCCAGCAGGTGCTAAATGTAATATGGAAAGAAGCCTACATACCTGTGTCTTAGGTGAAAGCTCTGTCTCTGCTAGCATTTCTAATAAAAAACACTGCAAAAATTGTAGAGGTTGATTTATCCCACCCTGTGTATGGCTCTTCCTTGGCTTTGTTATGCTAGATCCATAAAATGTTGCTCTCAAAGGTACTGCTCCTTTAGAACAGTAATGCTTAGAAAAAGGTGTAATAAGACACCTTAACCTGTACTGTTTTTGAGTTCTTTTTTTCAGTATAAAGTAAGGGATGGTCAGAAGACCAAAGCCTCTAATATAGCTGTTTCACAGGGTTGGCAGTGGCAGGAAATCTGGAGAGGATGGGTAATGCTGCCAAGGCTTAAGGGATGCAGATACTTACATGAAGCAGAACTATGCACAGGAAGGGAAAGCTCTAGCAGGGTTCTCTCCCCAGTATTACTGTAAAAATAATCTCAAACCTGGTTGTACTCATCTTTTATAGTGTTGTGAGGGCCATGGGTTCATTTCTTCATTGAAGGTAGTGCTAGGACTGAAACTTGGCATAAATTCATGCTTATTCCTGGTCAGTACTAAAGTTTCAGATGTGAATTTACCTGTGTGTTAATGAGCAAAATCCAGAGCTGCATGTTGTAATTTGCAATATGTCTAGATACTACACTTCTTCTACTGTGTCTGATGCAATTAATAGGAAATCTGCTGGATTTGAGCTTTAATGGAATAAGTTATTCTCAAGGAAGTTATCACAGGCTGAGTTTTCTATTGCTGCTAAGGGAAAGCTAATAGTTAACAGCTAGTGACAGATTTATGTTTTCATTTGTAGGCTACCCAGCAGTGGGCCCAGCTCAAATATAAAGTATTGCTTGGAAAAGTTGGTTTTGTTAGTGAAAAATATGAAGTTCATTTTAAGACAGAAAAAAGTGCCTTCTTGCTACTGGGAGAATAGAAATTCTCTAAGGAAAAATAGCAAAGAGTGAGCTTCTGTCAATAAAAGAATCTGTGTAATTTAATACCAGGCAGCTTTTTAATACAATAGGAAAAAAAAGAGCAGACACTTGCCTCTGTTATGAAGGGGAAAAATATAAAAACCTGCCTGCAGTATGTTACCTAAATTTAGCCACAGAGCGGCCAAACCTCTTGGATGCTCAGAAGTCTGTCTGAATGAAGTAAGTAAAGGCTATAGAGAAGCTGTATTTGGAGACCCTCTATCCCCAAAGTGCTGGTAATAGGAAATGTGTTAGGCAGCACCAGTGGCCAGACTGTAAAGCAGCCCTTGCTTGTTTAGTCCTTCTTATCACAGAATCAGAAAGTTTCTGTTTGATTTTTCAATAATGTAAGTGGCTGAGGTTAGAGGTGTGTGAATGGCTTCCTGCAAATGAAAAAGCTATTCAGCATCATCCTGGGTTTAAGCCTGAATTGTTCCTGTGTTCAAGCAGTGGTGGGATCATGCTTTGAATAATGCTTATCCGTAAAGGTGTTAAACTTCTTACAGATGTCCTGTAGACCTTCTCCTTCCTGATATCTGTACTCGAAAGCCTATCTAGAAGAGGCATCTGATTCTTAAAAAAATGCTTGACAAAAAATTTGAGTTCAGAAACCAAAAGAAACCACAGGTTATCATTCAGAATGCAGAGAAAACAGACACTAGCATCTTAGTCAAATATCAGTTCTATAATTTTTAAAATCAGTTTTGTAATAGTTTCTTAAGCCAAGATTAAATATGAATTGTAGATTTCTTAGAAGTGTTACTATTTGAGATTTCTGATGTCTTAATTTAAGTGTAATTTTAAGTCCTGACAGCGGCATTTCTTCTAGTTTCATGGGCCTGAGAAACGATTTTGTATCCCTTACTGGCATGCACTTCCAGTGAGTGTTTCAAAGAGCCAAAGTTATTAGTACTGTTATTTCCTTTGTCCACATTTGAAACAAGCCCAGAAACTGTAAACAACTGGAAACTATTGCCAGCTTCTGTTGTATTAACATTCCTACAATACTTGCTTCTAAAAGTCTTAGAGGATGAATGTGTGGATGCTTTTTGTGTGCAGAAGCTGCATCTCAGGGTGCTCACAGCAGAGTCAGAGCTGTAGCAGGAGTCCTGTTTCATATAACACCTAGTTCTCATATGCTTCTACAGTTCTGGCAGTGGTACTTTGACTCTTGATTATTCCCTGCATCCTCAGCTTCTCAAGAATAGTGATTTTTGCCTCTCTGTTTCCTCTAAGAGTGATGATTTACTGATGAACTCATTGGTGAGCACCGTGTCTTCAAAAGATGTAAACATTAAAGCTCAATAGTTGTACAGCACTTGGCATTTGAGCAAAGCTTCATGATGTATTTCCAATGCCAGAGTTTTTGTTTAAGAGGTTGCATACTGAGACTGTCCAGTGGAGAAGGCCAGCTGGAGCCTCTCTTCACTGCTTGAAGTTTGCAGTAAACGTTTTAGTGGCTTGAAGAATGATGCAGGTGCCTAGTTCAGTTACACCCAGAGGGGCATGTTCAGGAAAGTGTGGAAGCTTATGCTGAAGACCTGTGAAGCCAATTTTTGAGCATGATCCCAGAGGGTCCATAGGATCTCTTGATATTTTGACTTCTTAAGGGCTCTGTGATCTGGTTGGAGAAAGCCAGGCTAAGATGGTATAGTACAAGCCTACTAGTAAAGATCGCTATGTTCGTCTGCTAAATAAACCCAAACTTTCATGTGGTTTTGTGATATGTGGTTTTTTTTTTGTAACAGCATTGCTACATTTGAGTCTGATCATAAACATTTCAACAATTATGTATTTATAGACAGCATTAAGACTAAAAACCAAGTTATTTGATAACGCTTCTGAGTGTCTGTTTAGTTTCCACGTATTAGACATGAATAAACAATGAGCAACTTTAAGGCCAAGACCCGTCAGGTTTTGCAGCCCTCAGCTGACAGTTCCACCATCTGCCCAATCTCTATTGGCAGAAGTGAGAGCTCTTGTATGAAAAATGCTTGGACCAAAACAAAATTGCAGATATTTGACATCTGCCAGTCTTCATAAGCAGAGTGAGTATGACAACGTTGTCTTATTTTTTAGTTGTAAAACAAAACTACAGAACATCTACCACCCTGTAGCTGACTCCGTACTGCTCCTAAAATAACCGAACCAGTTACCCAAAAAGCACTGGGGTTCAGCTGTCAGTCAGAACATGCAAATGTCAGAAGCCAGTATACAGGAAAACACATCGTGGCAAAAAATAAAAGCAGGATGAGTGGGCAATGCTGACAAGTGATGTGAATTTGTATTGATTTTACTAATCCATTCAGGAGAAAAATGTAGTTGAAGTATCTTGGTATGGTATTTCTTTTTTCGGTCTTGAAAAGGAAGATTGAAGCATGATTTCAAAACTTTCTGTTTAGAAATTTCCTGTGAAGTTATCCTTTAGAAAGTGGGAGGAAAGGGAGGTTAAAATTAAATTAAACCATTTCAGAGCAAGCAAATAATTTTGTTCAATATGAAATGAAATCCTTTCATCATGTCCTTCAGTGGTATTGGCAATTAAGTCCTCTTTAACAATTAGCAAGCACCACTGACTGCTCTTTTTGTGTTCTATTTGAAAAAATTTATTACAACTCTTGTTTATTACAAAGAGTAAACAACCACTGTACATACTCAATTTAGCATGTTTGTGAAATGTAAGATGTTCACAGCACTTGAAAAATACAAGAGTTAAACTTTGAAATTAGAGGGTTCAAATAAACCAAAAAATGGTGCTGCTTTTCCATTAGCAACTCTTATTGCAATGGTATCCTAACATTATAGAAAAGTTTGGGTCTAAGTGCTCACTTGCACTTGAAAGAAAAGGAAAAAATTCTTTGTACACCTTTGCTTGTTGTCATGATGATTTCTGGAGTTTTTATTTTTTTTTTTCCATATTATAACTGGCTTTGCAACCTCTCATTGCAAATGTGAAGAAATAACAGGGTATTTACTTACTGTCTGTACCTGCTGCTTGTCAGGGCATTGTATTGACCTGGGTAAAAACTGTCTCATTGTAACAGCAGACTGAGAGCCCTCCTGTGGCAACCTCCCTTCCAAAAGTACTGTAATCCCAGTTGGAGAGGGCTACCCCTTGGGACAAGACTGGGTTTGACCTCTTGGTCTATTCCAGGTATCCCAGGTATCGACCCTGCTTCCCGTTCTGGTAGTCAGAGTAGAGTCATTCTGAAGAACATGCTAAGAGCTCAGTCTGTGTGGTGTCACAGCATGAACCATTCCATGTGGAAGCTGGCTGTAGCAATAGACCTTCAAAATTGTTTCCTCCTCAGTCTGTGTTTGTGGAGCTGTTGCAAACTTCAGTTATTGTTAACCTGTGCTTATGGAATTGCTGCTTATCTGAAAAGAAGTAAACCTTTATGGTGGTTCTTTGAGGAATATTTCCTCACTGGTCTCATCTTTTTGACTCCATCCTTTGAAGTCCCTGTCGGTCAAGCTGCCCCAGCCTGTGAGAGTCCGTCTCTATTCCATCAGTGCTGTAATTTCTAGTCTACAGCAAGATGAGGAAATAAATGTGAAAAGCTCCTTGGGCTCCTAAACATGTAAGAGGCTATTTAGAGTAGTCCTATAGAATTGGGAGCTCCAGAGTGCAGTGGAAGACAGAGGCATTCCTGATACCTTAGGAATACCTTCTCTCACAGGTGCATGGTGAGTGAAGGTCTCTTTGACCATTTCAAAATTAATTTTTCATTTTCCATTTTTGAAACAAAGTATAACTTTAAGTTTAAATGTGTCCATAATCAATTTAATTCAATTGGAGTATTGTTTCAGTACTTTAAGTGCCTTCTGTGTGCAGAACATAGGTTAGAAATTTAAAACTGAGTTTGAAATTAGCACTTGGCAAACTGTTAACCTGTTGACCTTCTAAACAATAGCTCTGAATCTCCAACTAATGCAGGATTAGAGCCTAGATGTATTCTTGTCTCTTCCCTGTATACTTGGGCTTAAGCCAACTCAACTCTGTAATCTTCATAAAATGGCTTCATATATATATATATATATATCTCTATCTCTATATATATATATCTTGCATATATAATATTTGCATATATACAAGCCCCCTCCCTCAAAATAACTTTTTGAGGCAAAATCCACCTTGCTGCAATGTTGTAATTCATCACTGGTGTGGGAGATAAGTGTCTATAATTGTATCTTTAATGAGGCAAGTGGGACAGACTGTGAAAATCAGCTTTTCAGGTGCTGTGAAATCAGATAATGCATGGGGCCAAATGGTGACTCTGCTTCCTCTGAAGCAGAAGGATTTTATTAAGCTGAGTGAGTAATAGCCCTTCTCCTTGAGAACTCTCTGATAGAGCCAGAGCTACCCCTAGTATCAGCAAAACCATGTTTCTGTGTGCCTATGTCCTCCTGGTACACTCCTGGTGCCTTACTCCAGTAAGGCATCTCCAAACCTACTTCAGACAGAGTCTGTGGGGAAGAGGTCACCACCTGGCTTTTGACTCCCTGGTTATTCTGTAGCCCCTCAGAAGGCAGCTGTGCCACTGTAGCCTGGATAGAAATATTGTAGCCCATGGTGAAACTGTGACCATCTGCTCCTTCTTGCAAGTTCAGGGAGTAGGAATGCCCAGTTCTCTTCCTTGAGAGCCTGGTGGTGTGTTATCACCATGGAATCTAACTGTTGCCAGGGCCTGTTACTACAATAAATAACTCCACAGAAAGCATTCTTCTTATGTCCTGGCATACTGGCATCATTGTCCTTGTCCAGATACTCCCCTCAGAAGATGGGAAGGAGTTTGTTTCATCTGTGGAGCTGGGATGCTGGTCTGGGAGTACCAAGTCTGTATAGGGCGTTCAGGGTGTTAGTGAACCTCCTGTGGGAACTCAAGCTGTTGGATGAACAAGATACTGTCATGTAAAATACACACATTTCAGCGTCTGGTTGAATTTGTTAAGTATATTTCAACACCATTAGCCATGGAAAAAGATCAGTTCTAAATCTGGATTTTCAGGCAGTTCTGCAAGCTTCTAAATGGGAGAAAATGTCATCGGGAGACAGGGACAGGCTGTGACTAGGGAAAATGTTTTAAGCATCCTTTGAGATCATTGTACAATTTCTTGATTACTGTTTGAATCTGTTCACATCCTTAGAAGTAGATGTCTGTAGGAGATTTTAAAAAAAGAAAAAGCAGCCACAGTTTATGCTTTCAAGAGGTTGTTATAAAAGACAGCAGAGAAATGTTAAGTCAGTGCTGTCAGTTGAAGATCATGTCTTGGGTCACTTGTGCTGACATCATCAGCTAGTTATGGTTAGAAGAAATAGAATTTTTCCCCCCCAAATATTTACATGAAACAGACTCTGTATGAACTAAGAACTCAAAGCCTTTTGAAGGGGAGCAAAAACTCAAGTAATTGTTAGTAACAATGAGGATTATTTATTTATTTATTTTTTTAACTTCCTGAGACCCTGGTAACAAACAAATGTCACATTTTGACCTTACTCTGACTTGTAGTGGCAACATTTCTTTAAAACTTGTCATATTTTCTGTGTATATATGAGACACGGAGATGTTTACATGACTAATGTCTCTTTTAAATAGTAAGGCCAGTGGACTTTCAGAACCAAATGAACCCCACTGCTGAGACAGCGTGACTCCAGCCTAAGCGATCGCTCTGGCTGGCTGCAGGCAGCCTTTGGCGTTCCTCTTGTCCCCAGTCCAAGCTCTCAGCTGGTCTGGTTGGAAAGCTGAATAAAGTCTTTTGCATGGCAGGGAGCCTGAAGTGATCTTCCCTGCCCCAGTGTGCCCTGCCTGACTGTGCAAAGCACTGCCATAAGGTTCCTGTAGGGCTTCCAGGTTCTCTCTAGCGAGTGCCTCTGCTGGGCTCGGAGCACGTGTGCAGCTGTACCTACCTGTGCCGGCATCCTGGCGCTGCAAGGCACTCTGAAATGTGCACCCGCTGTCTCTTGAGAAACAGCTGTGTCCTAAGACATCTTGTTCTTTCTTCATCCCTGATCCAACAGGGACCTGACTCTTGCGTTCACTCTGAATTCACACAGAATGCAAGTCAAGTAACCTTTTGGTGTGTGGGTATTTTGTTGTTGCTGCTGTTCTCTCTTTAGCAGATGTTTGCAGGTTGCATGTGGTAATGCTGAAAAGTGATTGATGCTTGATGTAGGGCAGAACAGGATGTACAGGTTGAGGTTCTTGTTTGCATTTCTGATCAAATGCTTACTCTGATGGTGCAGTTCTAAAACTTGGTTTTATGTAAATAATAGGTGAAATTTTAATCCTTTTAAAAGAGGTGAGTTTTATTTGTTCCTTCAAACACAGATAAGATGATAAAATGGAAATAACAACACTTATCAAAGTAAGAAAATTGATTAAATGCAAAATCATAAGCTGTAGCATAATCAAAAACTAGGTAAGCTTTATGATTTATGCTTTACAAATTGATTATTGGCACATAAAAGACAAGACAAGTGATAGTTTGAAGAAATAAGAGTACATGGGATGTAACAAGTGCCATGAAATTGGCCCTCATTAATATTTATGGCAAATAACTTTCTCAGATCTCAACAGGATTTGTGCACTTAGAGCCTGAACTTTTAATATCTGATGCACATGATTCAATTGACATGGTGAACAGTATGTTTTTGAACAATCAGAGCTAGAGGCTTTCAAGAGCAGTATGCTGATGCCGACTGACGATAGAAAATCCTTCCTCTCATTTTAGCAGCTTTTCATTAATATGTAACATTAAAATAGGCAAGTTTCAGTACAGTCAAGGCACCAGGATGTGTGGTATGTGAAAAAACAGAGCATTTTCATAAATACAAATTAAGATATTTCCCTTTAAGAAAACCCATGGAAGGGAGCCCTATGTGAAGCACAACAAGGAAACTGGGAAGAAAGAGGAGCAGTGAGAAGGCCAGTAATGGTGGGAAGGGGAGGAAAAAAGTGCAGCTCTCTACATGCTTTGTCTTGTGGGAATGACAACAAAAGCCAGTCACAGGGGTGTGCATGCTGGGGAATAATCTCTATAAAATCAGAATGCAGCTTCTATAATTGCTAGTGTTATGTGGAGGAAATTGAAATATGACTATTTTAAAATGAGGAGAGTTGTTTTCAAAACTTCCAAATCTGAAGCTCTTTGATGGCTTGTAGGATGCTTGGGAAAACTAAATGGGAGCATCTTGGTATCTGTGACCTTATCAGCTGTCTCTGATTTATGCACTTAAACTAGTGAGCTGCTGCAGAGAGGGGAGAAAAGTATGGAATGGCATTTCTGATACACAGCAAGGCTTTGCCAGTCCTGTGAAGCAAATGATTTCCCATTTAGTATCAGCACCTTGACGTGTATGCAGATAAAAAACATTCTCCTAAGGTTTGGAAGCTTACTGCAGTTATTAACAAAGCAATGGTTGGCTGATTCGAAAGGAGAGGCAAATTTCTGAGATTTTTAGTCTGGTAACAGTCCTGCTGACTTTTAACAATAGAAAGTGATGGTGGATTTTTAAGGGGCTCTGAATAACCATATTTCTCTTTGGAAACAGGACTGAATAATCAGGTGGCTAAAGAGGAAGTGCCCTGACAACTAGTGAGCACAAGTAATCATTTGGGGGGGAGGGGGGGTGGAGTTTGAAGCCAAAAAGACTGCATCCCACAGCCAAAAAGACTGTGCATGAAGAGGGAAAAGGGTGCCCATTTTCTCTGTGCTCTGGTGACTCCCCCTGGGGTGCTATCTCAGCCCCAAGGAGGAAGCTGTCTGCTGGAGACATGGGTGATGGAGTGGAGGGGAAAAATTCCAGGAAAAATGGAGGGGAAATACCCCAGAGAGGGGGGCTGCAGCTGGGATTGAGTTTGGAGGCTGTTGGGGACAGTAGGGAAAAAATGAGCTGGCTCGCAAGATGAGCATAAGGAAGGGCTAGAGAGAGAGATGAGGAGGTAGGCTTGGATGCAGAGGATGACTGGAAACCAAAGGTGTTGGACATGGAACAAAATTAAGAATTTTTGCAACTGAAGCCAAAGCCTCTACAGACTGCACAAGAACTGCTGCACTTCAGAGACTGGCTGCTTAGCTAAATCCAAGCAGGCCTTCACACACAGGCACTATATGATGTTTCTTTCCCTGTGGTTTTCTTCCATTCTTAATTTAAAATCTTACCCTAGTGGTGGTAGATCAATTTATGAGTACTTCCTTCTCTGTCTCATTCCTGTCATGTCAGGCTCTAGATACTCCCAGATGGACTAAACAGCTTGAAGAGCTGACCTTTAATGTGGAGTGTGAATTTTGACAGATAGCTTAATATTTGTAAGACTGGGGTAATGGCTAAAATGGTGGCTGTAGTCAGTGGAGACCTGACTTGGTTCTGTTTTGCTAAACCAGCTCCATGGCTGGCTCTCTTGTGTGTGTGTTGTATTTCAGTGCTGTATGCGATCCAAATGCTGTACGTAATCTCTCCATGGTGACTGCACAGTATTTGTTTCTATTTAAGGAGAGAAAGAGGTCTGGGTTTTCTGCCAGAATTCCCACTCAGGTAATTACACTTCTGCCTGCAGAATTTCCCTGTAGCTTCAATTGTAGTAGTTGTTCTTTGCTCTCTCTACTAAAAAGTGTGAACATATACCTGCTGCTGTGTTTTGGGAACACAGCAGTGGCTGCTTTGCTGAGGCAAGTGAAGTGACCCTGCTATGCATCCTTTATGCTAGACTTGCCCCTAGTAAAGACTGCTGCATCCAGTCATGCCACTCTGCAGCTCTCATCTTTCTGAGCCTGACTTTGGCATAACAAGTTGGTCTTGATAGTGAGACAGCCAGCTGGAAGCCAATGAAAAGATGATTAAGAGCCAAGAGAAAGCCATATGGAGAGAGAGAGGGATTTCTCTTTACAGAGTTATAAGTAAAAGTGTTTATGTCTTTGGATCCCTCTAGCTGTTTTTTTTTTCCCTTATTTGCATCCGTTTTATGGGTGGGAAGTGGTTGCAGTTGATTAGCAAATGCTACCAAATCTCTTTAGCTAGAACAAATGTTGTAAACAGTAGATATTTCGGGCAGCTCTGTCAATACTAAAAACCAACATGCCAACATTGTAATGGTAATAGCACATATGTCATCATTATTATGCTAATGTTAACTACAATGCTATATATGATACCAACATTATAGAAAAATACTGTTTTGCAGAGTAAGAGATATTGAATGAAACGCCTCTTGCCTCAAATTGACATGATGTAGAGATTTATTTTTTTCTGAACTTATGACAGCAGAGTTAATAAAGTCCAGCTCAGTCTGGAAAACTCTTCTGCAGATGCTTAATTAACTTTGAACTCAAAGTAAACACAGACTGTGTTCACTCAGAGCCTTATACAGAGATTTAAAATGGAGGATGTCCAACATTAATAAGTTAAGACTCATCAAACATAATGTAGATAGTAAACAGAACCAAGACAATTGAACTAAATTATTGATTCATGGAATTCATTCTTTCTCTTCATAGAATGTTCACATGCAGATTGTGTTCTCTTGAATACAGTTCTTATTCAGATTTACTAAATGAATGTTATGATGTGTGTGGGTTTAAAGAAAAAAATTCTGTTAACTAATTCTGTATAGATCATATCCTCAAGATTCAAGCTGTTTCACATATGTTATTGTTTTAGTTTCCCTGACTGACTGAATGCTATTCAAGTGAATAGCACTGAAACCCTGCTTGAATTGCTACTAGGAATTGGTTCTTCAAAGTGTTCTCTTTGGAGTTGAAAGTTTCTCATGAACATGGAATAGTTTAAGAGAAGTTTGACAAATAGGAAATGGGAATTTCTGTTAAACCTTGCTGTTTTCCTTCCTGTCCAGCAAAAAAAAAAAAAAAAAAAAAGTTAATTCTGCTTATTAATTACTAGCTGAGTCAGGAACTGTGCTACTTAGTTGAGGAGGTGTAATGTTACTGTAATGTTCAAGGTAACTTTTGCTTTGTTCTCTTGAACAAGGATTCAGACTGGCTTATCATGATTTTAGTTGTAATATGGTGAAGTATTGATTGTGTGTAGGTGGGGGGCATGGGTATCTGACTAAGTTTTAAAGGACTGATCTTCATGGTGTTCAGAACCTCTGTGTTGTGTCTTTGTGTTGTGTTGTCTTTGCATCCAATTCTCTGCAGAGCATAGCTTGCCTGAGAGGGACGAGAACTTTTCCTTTCCCATCTAACTAGAAAAAAAAACTTCATAAAGCTGTGTTTATCTGAAACACATCTACATCTCTCTGTATTCTTTTCCCCCCTCCCAAGCAACAGCAAAAAATTCCCGCTCCTCTCTCAAGCTGATCTCAATGAAAACTCCTTGTGGCTATTTTAGATCCTCTTGCTTTCAGTCTGTATACACCAGGCCTTTTCCATATTGCTGAAATTGCCTGTGAGTCTTTTGAATATGTCTACTGGTCTCAATGAGATCCTATCTGAATTGGTGGATGTCACTGTTTTCTGTGAAAGCTTGTGTTTCTGCCACTGAAGAGTCCTTGCAGACTTCATACTGTGCAGGTATGAAATTATTCATAGTGGCATCTGTTCTCCAAAAATACTGAATGCACATTAATTCGATGGGCTGGGAATAGTTCAGAAGGGTTGCATCAGTTTGGGCTGAGCTGGCCTTTTCCCCAGGCCTCTTCAGACCCATATAATTTTACCAGGAACACTTGGTGCCAGATTTGACATCAGATTTTAAGCCAATGAGTAAATTCTCAAAGGTACAGTAAAAATTGAGAAGCTTTTCCTCTTAAGCTGTTGAACTAAGCTGAAATACGCTTTCCTAAGGTAATACAGGAACCTGGAAGTGCCAAGCCCTACACAGGGACAAACCAAAGCCCTATTAGAATAGGGGATGCTCTTAGAATCATAGACTGTTAAGATTTGGAGGGGATCTTAAGGATA